TTCAATGTTGAATAATTATATAATAGAAGAATAATAGGATGACTACTAAATTCAGTGTTGAATAATTATATAATAGAAGCATAATAGGATGACTACTATACTTCAATGTTGAATAATTATATAATAGAAGCATAATAGGATGACTACTATACTTCAATGTTGAATAATTATATAATAGAAGAATAATAGGATGACTACTATATTTTAATGTTAGGATCATTGAAAATTGTGCATTTTATAAACATAATATATATAAAAATTGAGCGTATTAGAAGTGTCTGTTAGGATCATTGAAAATTGTGCATTTTACAAACATAATATATATATAAAAATTGAGCGTATTAGAAGAGTCTGCTCATTTTTGTGTATGCAAATACATCATAAAGGCCAGTTTTAAGTTAGGTACGATGAACTGTTTGAAACAAAACACAAATAATAATATCTTCTGAACAATATCACTATTAAATATTGTACAGGAACGGACTATAGTGACATCACCTTTAAAGTTTTAACCAAAACGTCTGATTCAACGAGTCAACGCATTTATGAAAATATGAATAACCAGCGTGAACACACTTACGAAAATATCATCAGTACACCTCTCTACGCACCAAAACAGGTAGGTAACTTTATTTCATAATGGTTGGAGACGGCTTGAATGGGTAATGAAGAAAAACTTTAATACAAGTTTAACATAAGAGCAAATGTACAACGTTTCAACAAGGCATTGCACAAAATTCAAAACAAACAAACCAAAGATGTACCTGATAATGACAAAACCTTGTCGAAACGTTGTACATTTGCTGTTATGTTAAACTTATATTAACGTTTTTCTTCATTACCCATTCAAGCCGTCTCAAGCCATTATTAGTCTCAAAGTGGGTTCCTCGTTATCAAACGAAAATGTTTAAACAACTCTACTTATTCAATTATCGTACTAATTGTTGCATTAGAAGCTATTTACGTATGGAACAAACAAAGTAATACAGTTTTTCTGCATTCTATAAAGTAAACCACATTAAAAAGTCACCACACTGAAACCCTAGACTCTAGGGTTCCCAACCAGGGGTGTTGGCACCCCCTGGGGGTGCAAAATTAGGGTCCATTGGGTGCGCGGATGAAGCATATACAAGGTTCGTTTTTCCCCAAATATCGCCAAGAGGAAATGTCTAATGCACACTTTTTAGGGGAAGGGGACGAGGGAACCACTGCTCTAGAGACATAAGTTTACAGAAATTCTAAAACAATGAATATCAGTTAGTTCATACCAGTGTATTGGATTAAGGAAAGATGGTTACAAACCCACATGAAATCATTTCTTAGTAATAAAAGTTAACTATTATGGTCCAGCATTACAGTTATTGTAATATTTTCAGTTAGTAAATCTGAATTACAAAATTAGTGCTGTAACAGTTATTGAATATCCTTTATGTTGTTCATTTCATTTTATTTTTTAAAACTCAGTTTAACATGTTAATATTAGTGTTTTATATTTAGTAGTTGTCAGCCAAAATATTTTCAGTAAGTTAGATTTTCACCATATATAAATTTGGTTATTTTTCTTTATGTTAAGAGAAATTGGCACATGGTAGAAAGCTTATGATTACACCGTAGGATCCCCAACTTCAACTGTATTTTAAATGAATAGGCTCAATGAAATAGAACGTGTCTAGAAAACAAAAACTCTACATAGCTGTATCGAACAAAAAAAAACGAGTTTCATTTGAAGACTCTGAAATTGTATCTAGACGACTCTCAAATACACTATTTATTGATTAATTAATAGCTCGGAAGTGCAAATGTATATATTGTGTGTAAAAAGTGGCGTGAAGCTCAAAACACCATTAAACTATTATCATTAGATATTCCATTTTTAACCATAGACCTACATATTCTCATCTCATGTGAAGTAAAAAAAGGGTAAACCCAACGATTATTAAATCAAAAAATGAAATGAAAATAGAAAACGTTCAAAGTTTGAAAGCAATGATTGTTCTTAGAAAAAAACTGTCCCGCGAGTTTTAGATGACATTAGTGTCGTGGGCTCTATCGAAAGTAGTTAAACTTAAATTTGAAAATGCTTTGTATATCAAGGAAAATATATTTGTTTGTTTTATTAAGCACAAAGCTACAGAATGGGCTGTCTGTACGGTGCCTATCACAAGTATCGAAACCCAATTTTTAGCATTATAAGCCTTCAAACTTACTGATGAGCCACAAAGGCTGAAAAATATATACCTAATAATGAATAGGACGCGATATTGTTTATTATTTTATGAACTTTCGTAAACGTATAAAAAAGTGTAGAAAATCTTGATCGAAAATATTCAATATGACACTTAAGCATGTGTATTTCATTCATTCGAATATGTGAGCGTTTCCAATTTAAGTATTCATACAGGTGTGAGGGGAGATGAATGCTCACATTTTTATTGGGTCGTAAACAATTACAAAATCGTAAGTAAATAAGTGTCCCTTCAACCTGAAAATATGATGCAAAGAAGTATTCAAAGAAAGCTAAGAAAAAAAATGCTATTCTGAAAATAAAATTTCAAACCACGAGAAACCAGCATATTATTAAAATAGAAAGTCATAATTAGCTTCCGTTGGAAAGTTTCATTTTTATTTTAATATATTAATAAATAAGTTAAGATAATTAAATGTATATGAATTAATAATATTAAATATCGCATAGATTTGATAAAAAAGTAAAAAAAAACATTTTAACCTATTTTGAGAACTATTTTCTATCAATGTTAACCCAGTACCGAGTCTAAACTAATGTATCATGTCTTTGTCCAGAACACCATGGTGGAAAACAGAGAGGTTTAGTTACTTGAATAAATTGTTTCAGACTTTCAAGAGTGTTTAGAGATTTGAAATCATTTTGAGTAACAGGAGAAATAAATATACAACTTTAAACCAAGACACCTGATGAATTATTGTATTAGCATCTTTGTAGAACGATCAGATCAGGTTTTAGCCGTTTCGAGAATATGAAGACAGAAACATTAGTATTTTACATCCTTTATAACAAAAACACATTCACAGTTACGGATTTCGTGGTAAAAAATATATATTTTGGTTAGATTACTTCACAGTAACATGTCACGCCCTCTACAAAAGGATACTAAAAGAGCTGCATAATTATTGTTTTAAATTATAAAATAACAATCTCAACAAATACTGAGTATCTTGAATTAATCAGTTCTCATTAGATACGTAACAAATTTAGTAAAAATTAAGATACTTATTTTTTCACTACTATCAAAATGATGACCACGCTAAGAGATGGATAAAATACGCGTTTCAACAAAGGAATGATATTTCTTGAATAAAGTCGTTTTTTGAAAATCATCACAGAACGAGGAAGAAGTTATGTACGCTGAGCTCGCTTTGCCAGAAAATAAATCCATCACAGTAAGAAAACCTGACGCCCCAGCAACAGAATATGCTGACATAGACTTTCAGAAATCTAGAAAACCAACACCATCTCCTAGCAACGAAACAGAGGAAGAAGAGGATGGCGTTTCTGTGGAAACTCCATTAATGAACAACCAGAAAGATGATAAAAAGGTGAAAATATTAATAAAGTAGATCTATGTGACGAACATTTTTCACAGTTTTGGATAAATTGTTCATATATATTTCCAACAGAATTTAGATTTACCTTCTTTACCTTAGTGATGAGACAATATATTTGCAGGAAATTAGTTTGCTCTTTTCAACAGTAGGAAAATAAAACCAAATATATAATATTTTTATTCTTTACTTTGAGAACTTTTGTGTCTTAAAGAATGTCTACTGGATTAAATATTCGTTGTAAAGCACATTTTAGTAAGTAGATTGTAAATATAAATATTTACTTCAATTCTGAAACATGTCAAACTTTCTTCTTGAAATATTTAATGCTTAGATGTTTTTGAGCAATAGTGTTGAATAACCACACAAAGATTTGTTTCAAATACTTTATAAACTATAAAAAAAACTTGATCAAAGGTGGTGATAAGACATAGAAGTCTATGTATCTTATCACTATAATATTATGTTTGTTTTCGTAATTTAACCTTAATATTTGGAAAAATATATGTTGCTGCAAAGCTATTCATATAAAGATAAAATTTAAAATTAGTATTTTAGTGCTATTTCTCATGCAAATACAATCACTTATATACATACAAGCTTTATTGAAATCACAGCAAAAATTGTTTTATTTCTTATTTACAGAATGTGGGATTAGAACGAGAAAAACCAAAAATATCGATGCCTATTTGACATAATCACTGGCGTCCCTGATTTGTTGATATGATCACTGGCGTCCCTGAATTGTTATCGTCGTTCTAGCTGTTTCAGTGTGTCGCTTAGAAACCTTAAAATGGACTTAAACTGCAGAAAAGGCTAATCTTTTGCCAAAGTGGATGTGATAATCTCAGATAAAGTTTCCTTTTACGTAAATTTTAATTGATTCATCACGAAGAATAGCTTCGTCTGATTGCAGGAATGTAGGGTTAAAATAATTTATTTACATTCAAGAGAAAGAGAACATTTTTTTAGAATATTAATGAAATTCAAGTAGACAAATCCATATTGTTAGTTGCTATTTCATTCTTCCCCAATAATTACCGCGAAATATATATTTTGAGGTTGTTTTATTTTATCTTTATATTTAACGTTCACACGAAAATACAGACTCACGAGAGGTAAGTGAACAGTTTTTCGCCTTTCAAAGAAGGGTATATCTTTTGTTTTTAAGTTTTTTACTTACTCTCTGTTATCTTTTAAAGTAACTTATGTATTCTTTCCTAATATTCAATTATATGTGGAACTCGTTAAGAATGTAAAAGATAAAAACTGAATGTTTGCTTCTTCCAAATGCATATTCTCTTCGATTACGTTTTTTTTTAAAGATACAATATATACGGTAGGTATGTCTTTTGAATAGGATTCTAAAACATGTATTCCACAAAATCTGATAACAGGCTTCTATTAAAAGAAACATCAAATCCATCTTAGGAAAAAAAAAAGCTGAAATAAAATATAATGCTACGAAACGTAGTAGAAATATTTTGTTAATGAACAAGCTTAATATCTGAAAGTAGGAGTATTTTGTGTTTTAAGGAAATATAATTATATTATTGCAGAGTCAAATATCATGTCCGTAAATTAATAAATATTTGGAAAATGTTATCATTTTCATATATTTGTACTTGTAAAAAGTGGTGTAATTATATTTATTGTTTCTTTCAAGTGTTCGATTTTCTGTTTCACTTCTTAATAAGACCCGAGTAGAATGGTATATTAGATATATTTATTTTAATTGTTTTCATATCAATAAATAGTTTTCGGTGTGATTATTCATAATTACAGCAATAAATACAAATACTTTTGATTGTATATTTGATGGTTCTTAAAATAAATCAACATAAGTTATATGGTTTTATCCATAGGTTTTACTAATCTGGTGTTCAATATTTTTGGTGCACAAAAATACTTTAGTTCCAGCATATATATGATGGATTTTGGGGTATATCAAAATCAAATGCTAATACCTGAAATGCCAACTAAGTAATAGATTGTTTGTTTTTTTTTAGCTAATATGAATAACCGTTTTCCTTAGTTTTTCTGGATACATTTAAATTATATCTGTTTTATTTTCATTCTTAGTTTGAGAAAATGTATGTATATTTTCTCAAACTCAAGACTGCATGTATACTTCTAGATCAGATTGCATCTTCATTCATAATGAAGTTGAAAGTAACATTGTTATTGTGTTAATATCATGAAAAGTGATATTTTCTAAGTGTCAAATGTGTTGACTCGTGCCTTTGTATTTTATGGATATATCTCTGCCTTCTTATGACTGATGTAATTATGTAAACCTTTCACAAAATAATTAAACATTATCAATTAAATATTAGATTGGTTCCTTATATTTTGTCTATAAATCTAATACAAAGACAAGTACATATTATATAGGAATTTCTTCTTAAATGTGAAGCTGATTCAACAGAAAAATGTACCTGATTTATTTCTCCAACAAGGTGTTCACAACCTATATCTAACGTATAATTTTTAAATTTTCAGATACTGATGTCAGTCCGTCACCTTCCGCCTATTGAACTAAAATTATAATATATTTTAAATCTTATAATTCTCCTTTTTTGAATGGCAATCTTTCAAACAGTTGGTTTTGTATCAAACTTTATATAGCACAAGTTTTATTGTTGTTGTTGTTTTTTTCAACATTTCTCACTGTAATTATATAATCCAAACTTAATTTTTATTATTATTATTATATATATATATTTGATAAATGTATTTCTTATTTGTGTTTGTTTTTCGGGCTACTTCAAACTTGGGCTGTACAGCACACACACATTAACAAAATTAACATCCGCACAAAAATAATTATCATAACGCTACAAAATCTATGATGTATAAACAACGGCCGACCTCGTTTCAAGAGACTGGTCGTAAAGAATTCCGCAGGCTCTGTGTCCGGTGACTTGGCCGGTGTGTTCGCATGGTGTAGCATGAATACTCGTTTCATTCTTGAGCTATACGACAGTTGACCGGATATGTTGTGGAAGCACTTAGTGTGCGCGTGACTTTTGTCGCTTTTCGAGACGAAGGCCCTTCTAAATTATGTTGCGTATTGAACGTTTTCAACACTCTGTATAAGTGCAAGTAAAGCATTTATATTTAGATAAATTTCCTCTTTTTAGTAATTTTCCAAGTGTCTGAAAAAAAAATGTCATCTCACTAATTTCAATTAAGCTGTTGAATTTTATTTTTATAATGCAACGTACTCTTTCTGTTTTCCCGTTTCAAGATTTAAGACCTAACGGACTCTTATGAAAGTTAAGAAAACTACTTAGAATGTGTTGTTTCGGTATTATTTACTAAAACATAATGGTGTGAGGGAAGCAGCAGTTTGTGTTTCAAACACGTGTAACTGTGCTTGTTTGTTCACTTTCACGTTTGTGCTTTTATAGGGAAAAAATGATTAAAACACAGTGAGTAAATAATACCCAGAACCAGCGTGTAACATATAAGTTTATGATGTTAAATCTATGTAACTAATTTATGAATAATGAGTACATAATGCATAAACTAATTCACCAGAAAATAAAAACATAAAAATGCATTGAATAATCAGTTGGATTCTCACATTGTTAATGACCTTTTTAGCCGATACAATCACTAACAATAATTTAATATGGATCTTCACAATTACACATTTTGTTTATGAGGATCCAATTAGTTTTGAAACTTTTTAACCACTACGTTTCGTTAGGTCTGTGTACTATTATCATCACTTACCAGTCACTATTTATATCTTTATTATATTTATGATTTTTATAATGTGATAAAGAAGGTGAAAAATTTCATAGCGCTTATTTAAACTATAAACTTAGAAGAAATCATGTTTTATATAGCATATCTTTAAATGCGTAATTTGTGGTTGGGGTGCATAAATAGGAGTCACATTCGAAGATGGAATACATTTGTTTATGACAAAATGCACTTTTGCATGCCCAACTTACAGAAACTTTTCCTCCCACTTTTGAAACTAAAGTTACGTCACTGCACTCATAGCATCTATGAAATGACTAGACCATAGGGATCGTTTTTATTAACATGATGCTGCTTAACCATAAACATAAAATGACAACATAAGCTGCTTTTCATCGGTACACAGCAAACTTTAAATCTTTGACTGGATATTAATTTTGTTTCATTTTCTGAATGAGAACGGTTTTAAGTTAAGACTTCTAAAACTCATTAGAAAAGGAAAGATAGCATAAGGGAAATATAAAAGTATAATAGTTTGCTGACGTTCTATTAAAACGACTTTGAATAGAAAAGTCAACTAGTTAGTTGACTAGCCGATGAAAAGTTGCAGTGGAACGTATGGCAGCAGAACTACATTTTGTCGTTAGATATATAGGTAGTGCGATATCATCGAAAATTGATCGCTTTTGGGAAGGATATGAAACTGTAAGAGAACAGACTTACGATATTCTTATCAGCTTTGAAAGTATATGCCATACACTTGTTTTAAACAGTTTATCAAATATATTTTGTAGTCATACGTTTCGTACTTTAATTTTCTTGCAACAGAGAGACTTTGCTATCTGGAATAATAGTGTTCTTTGGGACATAGAAGTATGTACTTCAGGTTTGCGTGTAGCTTGTCGGCAATTGTAAAAGGCTTCATTAGTTTCTGATTTGACATTTTCAATCTGATCAGTTTAAAATTGATTTTTCGAGATTACCAAACGGTAATTCTTGATTCTTGGAATCTAGCTTCGGTACTAAGATCTCAGGGAATGATTCTGTTCCTCAAACAGTTTATCAAAAACTGTCGTTGTAACTGTTTTCGTTCAGGGTGGTTCGTATTTCCTGTAAAGAAGACCAATTTTACGATTGTTCTTGAAAATATTTTCAATATATTTTTATTCCTTCTTGGATACCATTTTGATATTTTCCAAACCAGATAAGAATGTCGTAAATCTGTCCTTTTACTGTCTCACAGGCATAGAAGAAATAACGTTAGGCTATGGTCCCAAATTCTCTTTCAAAATGCTGATCTTGATCTTGATTTGATACCAGATATTGCTAAATAAGCCAAAGACAATAATGATGATTTGAACTTTCTAACTGGATGCCTAACCACCGCATGTTTTTACAATAGTAATGATGACTTTGCGATACCTCATTGTTTCAAAGAAGCAATAACAAAATTTTTAAAAATAATAAGGATATTGTAGTAACTAAATCTGACAAAACAAACCAAAAACATTCCTCTTCCTGTGCCGGTTCACACTTTCATCTCCACTGTGAAAGTATGTGTTGATGATAATGCATTTACCTGCATGGGACAATATCACAGACAGAAATATGGAATTACTGTGGGAAACCTTTTATCCAGAATTTTATGTAACGTCTTCGTGGAGTATATTGAAAGTGAATTACTTCCTGGAGCGCATCTGAATTCAAAGAAAAATTCCTGAATTCCGATATGACATATTTTCGGTTTGGCCAAATAATAGAAATAATTTCCAAGCCTTTTTGCAGAGGATAAACAAGCTTCACAATACCGTCAAGTTTAAAGATGGAATGGGAAACGAATAATTCACTCCCATTTTTAGACATTATCATAACTAGAGAGATAACAGGGCCTGTCCTCTCAATCTCTAGAAGACCAACAAACCTTTTAAGCTATATTGTTTTTTTCTCATGCCACCATAAAACAGTTAAAACATCTATCATGACTTCCATGTTTCTAAGAGCCTTCAGAATATGTCATCAAAAATAAAAAACGTTTATACATTTTCAATATTCTGTGGGTTTTATCAAAAACGACCATCATAGCAAGGCAAAGAAGACATTTTATAGAAACAATAGCCAGCAAACAGCATCATCTACATATGAAACTAAGAAGAAAATATTCAGCATCAACTACAGTTCTAATATTGTGGTTCTAGAGAAATGTCTCGAAAAGAACAATTTCAAAGATGTTTATACATATCCTAACACCACTAAGAACTTCCTACATTCAAAGCAAAAACCAAGGAGTCTATATAGTCCCCTGTCAGTCTTGTGACGAAAGTTTATATTGGTGAAACAGGTAAAAATTTAGGTGAAGGACTGACAGAACATAAAAGGGATGTAAAAAATAGTCAAACAAATAATGTTGTTTTTCTTCACATGAGAAAT